TGCGCCCCCAGCACGCGCACAGCCGCACCCACCTGCCGCGCGCTGGGAACCCGGAGTGCTCTCAGGAAGATGCCTCGCTGCCTGCCAAGGATGCCCCCTGAGCCCCGCAGCCCTTCTTGAACGGGGGCAGGGGGCTCCCGAGGAGTCGCCAGGTTTCCAAGTTCAAAGGCCCCTTACGCGTGCCAGGGAGGAAGAGTAAGAGATGCTCGACAGGCTTAGGACAAAAACAGGTGTTTTGTGTACGTTTGGAGTTCCTGTTTTGCCCGTTTCTCACCCTTTTGCCACTCCACCCTCTACCCGATCACACCCACCCCACCCGTCGCCCCCGCTGTTACAGATCCTCCGTGAGAATTACTGGTCATGTTCTGTTACCCCCCCTCCCAAAAAAAAAAAATAGTCCGCTCCCCGTTCCCTTTCCAGACAGAGTCTCTGGTTCTGGGAGTCTGTTGGGTGGGAGAGCCACGTGGAAGAGAGAGTGCCTGGTCCTAGGGTCCTTTGATTCTGGGGCCTGGAGCAGCAGGTGTGTCCCCCAGCTGTCCCTTGAGGAGGCACTCCATTAACCGAGGGTCCCTGAGAGTTAAATTTATGTGTCAGTATTGTAGTGTTTGGTTTTTTGAGAGGTACTTGTTTTTTTCAAAAAGGTGAGGATGCTCTTGCCCTGTTGTGGGGCTGTTGGAGTGATGTCTGGGTACCTTGCACTTGTTTGGAAAGACTGGGCTTTGGGCCATCTTAGGCACTGTGTCAGGGTGGGAGCTGGGGGTGGGCGGGAGGTTGGAGCCCTTGGCGCCTCTGCTCGCACTTTATTGACAAATTGACCTCAAACCCTTTGCCTCACTTTAATTTCTCAATTCCTGTGCTTATGTCATAGGTCATACATTTGTGTTTCTGATGCATGTCCCCGTACCGCTCCCACCCCCCACTGCGGGTTACTTTACCCATCATGTTCCCAAATTTTTGTAACGTTACTACTTTTATTTTTTTAATTTTTCAAAGTGCACTGGGCTGGCAAAAAAAAAAAAAAAAGCCCAAACCGATTGATTGGTCCTCAAATTCTTAGATGGCAGAAGTGGAGGGAAGGGTCAGTGCTCCCCTGTGATTGGAAGTGCTCTGAAGATGTATGGGGAGCCCTGTTGGGCCTGCTCTCTCTCTCTCTCTCTCTGCTCGTATTTTTCTGGAGACCAAACCAGCTACCAGATGATCAGAAAGAAAGCTCGTTAAATAAGGCATACACCAAGACCTTGTCTAGATATTTTTAGTTTGTTACCAAGGTAGCACTGAGAACTGTCACTTGAATGTTACGTAAGGGGTGAGACAGTAGTGTGGAGTGAGGAAATTATCTGGGTCTACTAGTGTGTTCGGGTCCGTTTGCTGCTGCTGTTGCTGCTGTTTGCCTCAAACGCTGTGTTTAAGCAACGTTAAACTCTTAGCCTACCAAGGCGGCTGTATGTACATAGCTATTAATACACCCAATTAATGATGTCTGACATGCTATTTTTGTAGGGGAGAAAGATATGTGCTAATGGTATTTTGAGTTAAAATATCTTTTGGGAGGACTTGGTGAAGTGTTTGCACTTTGGTTACTATGCTTATAATGCTTGGTGCAAGCTTACGCTGTCTTAAATTATTAAACAAATAAATACTGTCTGCAAGAAACCAGCCGGTTTAAACAAGTTTAATATGTAAAGTAAGCTAGAATCTATCTTTATATTCTAGTATTTTCAGCACTCCCTGAATTCTATTATCTAAATATTGCCACACTATTTTGTGATTTAAAGCTTATTACTAAGGAATAAAGACTTTATATATGATATGAGGCTGTCTAATAATTAAACAACATCGAATACCCCCACTAGTTCCCAGAGACTTCTGAGTATCGGGACAAGAGCTCATCAAACCAGGTCCCCTGACACGGTTTGTCTGTTTGGTTTTGGTTTTTTGTCATTGGTCTCCAGGGAGACTTCAGGGTCTGGCCTTGTGTCCCAGCTTGTCTTCAGTATATCAAAACTACAAAAGGAATAGTCTAGCAATCACCAGTGGTTTGTTTACCTTAGCCCCAGTTAGCTAATGTTTTTATGATTTATCAGGTTTTGGTCCTGACCTCAGATACCTTCTGCTGTGTGGTCAGGTCCTAAACACAGAACAAAGGGGAGGGGATGCTTCGATGGTGCGCATATTTTGCCTTCTTAACTTTTACAAAGTAATCCTAGTAGGAGATTTTGCCTTGGAGCTCAGGAAATGATTTCTAGACTTTTCTCAAGTGTGTGATCAGAACTGTGATTTGAGACAAATGAGCTGAAAGACTGTCCATTTTCTTTCCAGTGGTGCTGTTGAACCCCTTGATTGATGGTGTAGAAGTGATAGTTTGTAAGACGTAGGGGAAGTGCTCCCTCTGCTGACTGTGACAAGCAGACTGGGCACAGTGGACCTAAGCCACAGCCTCAGACAGCTGCTAGCTCAGTCCCCTGAGTTTTGTACAGAAAGTCAGAGGAGGCACACAGGCACTGAAGGCCAGTGCTTGGTCACATCTCCCTCAGCTGGCGAATGTCAGCGTTCTGTGCCAAGCGCGCTCATGAAACTTAACAAACTAACCACAGCAGTTAAGGAAACAGATCTACGTAGGAAAGAAGGGTTTGTGAGCCTTGGTCAGTCGTGGGAAAGACGGCTTGCTCTAAACTAAAGTGATGGAAAACAGCATCTTGAACTACATTTTTGTTGCCATTATTGTTGTGACCAAAAAGGGGATGCAGTAAATTATTAGAAAAGACAGTTGACATTTGCACGGTTTTGTCACATGTAATACAATTTTTTTTTTACTTTGGCCAGATTTTATAGGTCACTTATTTAGTCTAAAATTATATATACAGTAACCTGACAAAACTATGAATTAGAGCAAAAAAGAAAATGCATTACCTTTCATATTACATCTGAAAATGTGATCTTCTGTGTCTCCAGGGCTGGAACTCAGGACCTTGGGCCAGTTGGGCCAGAGCGCTACCACTGGCCTGGGTTACACTCAGCCTTTGGAAACTAATGAGTCATTGGTTGATTTTAATCAATTAACTGTGGAGTCGTTAGAAGTCACTAAGGAGGCATCTATGTCTGCAGACTTGAAGCGTTAGCTGAACGTAGTACATCATGTGAGTTCCCAGCTTCACAACTGTGAATCTTCACTCAGTAATGCAGTCAGTAGTAGGCATCCACCTTGATTTCTTAGCAGACTTTTCACTGAATTTATACGTGCCCCCACTACCGAGCCAAACTTCATCTTTTCAAGGCATTCGAAACCAGGACTGTGAAAATCCGCCTGGCCTTCCAGTCCATCATTGTGAAATGGCTTTAAGGTCATCCTAACTACAAGGACCACAACAGTTATGGTTCCTATCACGTGACAAGTAGGGCCTTAGCCTGGTTCCCTCTGTCACAGCTTGGTGTTTGTCCTCTCCGCAGGGGGTGACTGCCCATAAGGGACTTGGGGAGACAGGGTTGGACAAACAGGCCTTAAAGGCTTTTTATTTCTGGTAGAAGTGAACAGTGAATTAAGACTGGCTTCCTTATTGTCAAAGGCATTTTTCTCTCAGCAAGCAGCATGTATCTTTTTTTTTTAGAAAGTAATTTTATTAAATTATAAAAGTTTCCATTTCCGCCCCTCCTCCCAACACCCTCCCACTCCCCCCACTCCCTCTCCTCCTCCCTCTCCGTCCCTAAGGGCAGTCAGGGTTTCCTGCCCTGTGGGAAGTTCAAGTTCCTCCCCCCTCCCTCCAGGTCCAGGAAGGTGAGTATCCAAACAGACTGGATCCCCAAAATCCAGTATATGCAGAGGAAACAAGTCCCAGTGTCATTGTCAATGGCTTTTCAGAAAGACTCCGGGCCAGCCACATTCAAGCAGCATGTATCTTGCTAAAAATTTTTAACCCATTGAACGTTCAAATTAATATATTGAGGATCTGTAACAAATGTTCTCATGGTAGTTTAAGCAAGTTACGTTTTGATCTGCGATCTGTGCTCACGTCCACTTCAGGGGCCAGCTTTTCATGGGTGGATGTGGTAGAACAATGTCTGGGGTGTAAAGAGGGGGTTTTCACTACAGAATGCTATTCTCTTAATCCGGTGCCCCCGAAAGTCATCTCTCTTCTACTTCAGTGCAAATTCAAATACATACAAAGCTCTTCTTAAAAAGAGGGTATTTTAAACTCTGCATCTATAGATACCCCCCATGAGCAAGACGCTTCTAGATTAATACTAATTTTCCCTTGAAAAACTTTCATAGAAAGCACACTAAAATGTATTGTATCTATCCTCTAGAATGTTTTACACATGTCCTAGAAAAATAATCTTTGCGGAGTAAGTGTTTCCTAATAATTCAGGGTCTAGAAGCATTGGTTTTACAATATGTATATTAGATGCAGTGTTTACACTTGGTCTGACCCATACACAGCTCCTGAGTCTGATTATGTACTTACTTCCAGACAAGGTCTCACTGTATAGCACCTGGTGACCTGGAACTCCAACGTAGACCAAGTTGTCTTCAGACTCCTAAAGATCCACAGGCCTCTGGAGTGTTGGATTAAAGGCGTGGCCGCCACACCTGGCCACACCTGCTTTTGACAGGGCTTCCGGCCTCTTTGCACAGCCAGTCTGTCAACTGTCACTTCTCAGTGGTCAGAAAGCCACCTCCGATGGCCACCGGATTCGGTACCTGTTTACTGTGAGCTGGGACAGAGCCACACCCATTTGCAACGAGTGTCTGAAAGGAGAGTAAATAGCTTCAAAGAGAGGCCCCTAGGGCTTTGCTGTAAGCAAATTGTGTGAGTTTATATCGTCAGCAGTGGCTCCTCCCGGAGCTGTCTCTTTCTGTTTTCTGAAACTACTAGTTTTCAGCAGTGTTCCCCATCGGATTATTTGAAATCTCTAGTTACTTTATGTACGCTTCCATTATTTCCTTATGTAAAAGTAAAATCCACTTGCCAGCGGTTTCAGACGATAGCAAATAAGATAGCATTCTCCTGTTAGAAGTTACCCAATTGGTTGTATACTGCTTTCAGGTCAGTGAGACCCATTGGGCACTTCCATTCATGGGTGACCCTGGACCCATTGTCTAGATTGTAACACCTAGACATTGAACATGCTGAGTTCGGGTCCAGTGAGAACATTTGTAGACACTATTAGGGTGGGTGTGTAGGCCGTTGTATTCAGACACACCCATGGCAGAGCCTCTGGGGAGAAGCTTCGGGCCCAGTGCACACACTCCTTTTTCTATTGCACATACAGGCTCCAGAGAGTAGGTCCAGGGAGCCATGCATTTGTTTTGCTCGTGTTTT